CATAAATCCATCACATCTTCGTGTGAATCTTCTTCGGCCATGCTGGCATCTCCACCCAGCTGGTTCCGGTCAGGTGCAGAAGTGCAGAGACAAAAGATGACCTTGGCTTCTAGAAAAGAATGACAACAACACATTCCACCATTCTACTCATTTCTATTCCCCCGTCCCAACTACTACACTAATGAAACAACATAATGAAATATTAGAAAGTGTGGCAGGCCAAAGATCCTAAAAGGAACATAACTACAGGCCTGACACCAGTTAGAATCAGAGAGAAGTTATTGGCATTCCCAGAAAATAAAAATGACGTGAAGTTGTAAATTAAATCAAAAGTAAAACTGGGATGAGAGCGAGCACTGTAAAAAGTTAGAGGGGTGAATATGAAGCAACGTCGTCTTTCCCTTCTTGTGGCAACCATTTTGTGAGAAAGATCACCCACTCAGCCTTCTGGAGATGTGCAGTTTCACTCAAAATTTGACTACCTTAGCCACAGTACATAATAAAACATCACTCCTTCCTACCTCTGACATAAAAAGGAGAAAGATCAGTTCATTGATTGTCCCTCAGATTCTTCCATCCTTTGCCTTTTTTAAGGAACAGAGAAGCGGTTCATGTTTGTGTATAAGTAAATAAATGAAAAACCAACTCTACATTATAAGCATAAAAAACAAGGTCTTCAGCCTTCTTTATTAGTTTACATTTTCATTATTATTATTATTTTGCTAAAATTTAGTATTTTTCTAGTTGCACATGGATTACTTTTTTTCTAAAATGTCATGCCCTGGCAAATCTGTGGCATGGATGCCAGAGGTGGCACGCAGAGCCCTCTGTGGGCATGTGTGCCATCGCCAGCTGCTCGTCTGGGTTCCGTTGCGCGCATGTACGCTTGACAGCTGCTCTCTTCTGGTTTCTGGTGCTCTGGCATGCACACACACGCTCGTTTCAGCACTCAGTGCCGAAAAGCTTAGTTGTCACTGCCCTAGAAACTTATCACACTGCAGAAATGTTTGTTATTCCAACAGCTATGTTCATTTGAAGTCAACTCCTTGTTGAATAAACAATTACAGAATGTTAAACCATCTGAGTTAAGATACTATCTAAAGTTCCATATTTGCAATAAAGTTTTGAGATAATCTAAATTAGTATTAGGAGCAAGAGGTACGCAGAGTATGGAAATTGAACATTGTGGTTTCAGCTCATTAATTACATCTCCAATGTTCCATCAGGAAGATTTCCACGTCTTTAAACTTTAGAATCATTATTATCTAAAAAGAAAGTTATAATTAATGATATTTTCAACTGAACCTGGCAGGTGTGGACATTTTTCTTTTCTAAAGGTCACCCAAATGAATTGATCATTTGTGTTCTCAATGATGACAGTTCCCATTGTTTTATTCCTTTAGGACAACACAGACATAAAAAGAAATCAGTCAAAGCCATGGGAAGTGAGAGAATCACAGATGCAAAAATCCAGCAAAGTCTATTTTTACAGACAGAAGAAAATGAAAAAGAGCAGACAAGCTCTCTCAGCTGCCACCAGATTCCCATTGGAGATTATCCAGCAAATTACAAGAGTGTGAAGTTACCAATGGATTTTCTACTGATGCATTAACAAATTGCTATCTTGTAAAAAATGTGAACCGACTAGCAGTTACAAGATGGTGGCATAAAAAGGAGCATTAAAAAAAAATTGGACCTATTAACAAAGGCTGATTTACAGGTGACACTCCAGTGATATGGAACATTCCAGCAGGACAACAGGATTTGTATATTTAAAGGTTTACCACCATCTGTCTAAATGAAGCAAAGTATCCTTGGAATCCCAACTGGTCTTTTAAGCCTCTCCAGTGTCACATGACACTGAGGTATTATTCTGTGACAAACCCTGACATGCTTTTAAAGCTTGACAGAACTCCCGTTTCCCAAAATGGAAAGCTTGGCAGACGAAAATTCATAAGTGTGTTCTCAATACATGACTCCTTTGTACAATAGCCTGTCCCATTTTTATTGACTAATTCAGATAAAGGTTTGCTTGGATGGACCTGACCCAAATTAAGAAATTTTGTAACTGCTGGCTAAACTTCTGATAAAAGGGATGACATAAATCATTTAGGCAGGTGACAAATGCACCTCTCTGCTAAGGGACAGTGGAAATTTATATGAAGAGTCCAGCTAATAGCATCTTGAAAACTGGCTGGGTGTCTTTGGGCCAGTCACTCTCTCAGCCCAACATATCTCACTTGGCTGCTGTTATGGGGAAAACAGGAGGGAATATTAAGTATGTTCACCACCTTTCTGTAAAAACAATGAAGGTTGGGGAAAAGGTTTTATCAGCTATCTCTGCAAAGTTTGTTAAGAAACCCAAAAATTCTATACAAGCAGTTAAAATATAACTTTGTCTAATTTTGACTTTGAATACAATCGTTTGTTGTTTACCTACCTTCTTGTTTTTCCTTTCTCCAAATAAATGTTTATATAGTATACCTAAAATGTTGGTTTTTTTATTCAAAAAGAAATACAAAAAGAAATGCCTCCTCACAAGCAAGACCTGTGGTACATAATTACCACTTAAATTCACAAAATTTTCACATTTGAATTCTGGATTTGGAAAAACATCATCCTGATCCAGAAGGGGAGGAGGTAGTTTAATTGCAGTTGCTGGTCTAGAAACCAGGAGACTGTGAGTTCTAGTCCTACCTAGGGAGGGAAGCTAGTGAGGTGACATTGGGCAAATCATACTGAGCTCAGACCACCTCTCAGGGAAAATAGGAGGTAGGAATGTTGCGTTCGTTGTCTCGAATTACTTATAAAATAATAGCAACAGAAGTTCTAAGTTTATAGTTAAGACAGTTGAGCTAAGAACCTGTTGCGATGAACAGATTGAAGTGTCCTGTAAAGTTGATGTGTTTATCTGAATGTTGATTCCTTGTATTTGCCACATACGTATTTTATTTCTGTATTTCCTTTTAACTATTTTGTCTTGAAATTTGATTCTGTATTTTATTTTATCTTTTTGTATGGTCACAAGACTAATCATTTAATATTCAAGCAAGCAAGCAAGCAATAAAGCTGGGCTAAAACTCAAACATTTATGCAAAGGGATGGGCAAGTGATATGTTAAGAGATGATGTAATCATACAAGTACTATAATTTGGACGTGAGGGATGATCTGGCTGTGACATCTGTCACCCCATTGATCGCCAGGGGTTGATGGTGCTATAACTTACATACTTGCATCAGGCATGTATGATTTTGCCACTTGTAGATACTTTTAAACTGTCGATAGCACTGTGGTTTGCTTGGCTTTGTTTTCGGGGAGGTCTTATTATTTTTGAGGTGCAAGAGGCACCTCATGGCTGCTGCTGTGTTGCAATATTTTGGGGGAGGGCTTATTTTAGCGCTTGTGCTCAAAACCCTGATTGGGCTTATTATCCTTGGAGGTCTTATTTTCAGGGACACAAGTTAAGTCCTATTTCACACAACAAAAGAAATAAGATCTGTTCTTATTCCTACTTGTGGCAATGCCCAGAGACAGTCAAATAAGTAGTGGTGGGACTGAAATACCCCTCATCCACATCAAATGGTTGTCTTCTGGCATTATCCGTTTTTCATAAAATTAAGACACAACAACTTAATTACTGAGAACAGTTTTAGTTCAAACCTTTAAACTGAGTTTCACAGTAAACATTTTTGCAGAAACTATCAGAAAAAGGGATCAAGAAATTCTACCACTAACTGAAATAACTGCTCTTCAGCATCTAAATGATTGTATTAACACAGAAAATTACAATCTTCCTAAATAAGGATACATTTGTTATTTGGATTTTGCCACTGAAACTAGCTAGAGTTGATAAAGAAATTCTTCAAGTAAACTGCAAATCTTTATTCAAGCAATTGATGTTGTCATTTCCTCTCAAATACAAACCGCAAAATTTGCAAGAGAAATCATCTCATTTGTCAAAGTATATTGTCAAAGACAGGTTTTTACATCTACAAAGGTATAAAGAATACAACAAAACAACGTGATTTTTAAATGCTTCCCATCTCCCCTGTAAGGCTACTCTGCAATACTTCTTGACTCTATAAAATAAAACCAAAACAAAACTGGGCCTAAAAATATGTCATAAATCATTCAGACAACCAAATTGCAGCATCAGATTTTTCTGCTAAGAAACAGAACTATCATCTTGGAAATGGGGATGAATCATGACTCGCCATATCAAGGCATTTAACTAGGGGGGAAAATATGTGGTTTTCCAAATATTAATGGATTCCAACTTTTGGGAACTGCAGCTGGCATTGCCAACAATAACAAATGCTAGGAATTATACCTCAACATCTAGAAAGTTACAGAGTCCTCAAATCCTACAGTAAACCATTTTCATTGTCTGGAAATTTCTCCTACTCTTCATTCTTGTTTTATACCAAGTTTATTTGTTTTACTAGCCTTTTAGGAGTGAATGTCTATATTCATAGTAACTATTAAGCAACATGCTGTTGGCAATTATATGGTTAACTGGCCCATATTCAAGTTAAGAACTTGAATTCTTTTAGTATTGCAACCTCAAACAAGAAAACAGCTTGGTATCAGTGTCTTTGCTGGCATTTCAATCTTTATGAGAATAGATAATGAATACTTGAGAGCCAATGGAAGGAACAGCTTTTGCCGTGGCCTTCAATTTTCAGCATCTGCAATTAAATGAAAAGCAAGCAGTTTTAGATCTCAAAATAGAAGCTATGATAATCCACACAAGAGAAGTGTCAGGCAAACCAGTTCTATAGCCCCACAACAGCCATTACATCAAGAAAACACCACCAATTCTTTACAGAGTTAGCATGCCTACAGTGATAGGCAGGATAAACAAAATGTCTTAACCAGAATGAGGAGCAAGTGCAGAATTTGTCTTGTCCATATGCATTGTGGCCTAGAGTTAACAGATTTTTTTTTTAGTTATCTCAAAAGCTGCAAATTGGTTAATATTTTTGCAGTGCACTTGAACAAACCAAGTTCTGTCAAACCATTGTCTGAATTAACTCCAGGCTGACACATGCATTCCTTTCTAAGCTATAGTTTGAAGCAATGGTTGAGGCACTCAGGAAAATTGTTTAGCAGTAGCTCTCCCCTATTCTTTTCCTTATTTGGTGTAGTGTAGTACAGTAGTTCAGATATTGGAAGTCTAATGGACAACACCCAATTCAAACCCATCCCTGCCAATAGAAGCTCAATGGGTAACAATTTTCTCTCCTGAGCTATTTATAAAGTTATTATTCTGGGAAAAATAGGGTGTTATGCACACTCTCTTCAGCCCTTGGATGAAAGATAAGAGTATAAATAAAATTACTGAATGCATTACTGTGTTTCAAACTAAGCTGCTCATAAGGTTATATTCTGAGGAAAAATAAGAGAGGGCCCCTATTCCTTTCAGTTCCTGGATGAAAGATGGGCTATAAATCAAATTAATGAATGCATAAATATTTATATTTGTCATGGAGAAGCTGTAATCTCAAGGCCCAATTTTTTTGGGAGGTGGGAAAGTTCCACATATTCTCTGCTAATTTCTCACCTACTGCTAACCGGTAGAATTAGAATTAAAAATACGAAACAGAGGATAGGACAAAAACAAACTTGGAAATACAGTGAACATAAAGTGATTACTGTATATATCTGCATTTTTCAAAATCAAAACATTTGATGAAACATAAGCAGGAACAAAATATTTAGCTGGGAGTCCTTTACAATCAGATCCTATTTGTATCTAGCCATTACAATTCTCAAATGTTATCTTTAAGCTGCAGTAGGATTCTTTAAAAATATCAATTATTTCTGCAATTAGGTTATTTTCTTATAATATTTTCTCATAAATCTATTTTCCCTTTTGGAAAAAAACAAAGCTATTAGTGTTCCATTGATTAATTATCCTCACTGTTAGAAAGTTTCTCTTCAATTCCAGGTTGCTTCTCTCCGTGATTAATTTCCATCCATTTGCTTCTTGTCTTGCCTTCTGGTGCTTTGAAAAATAAGTTGACCCCCTCTTCCTTGCGGCAGCTCCTCAAATACTGCTATCATGTCACCTCTAGTCCTTTTTTCTACAGTAACTATCCCCAATTCCTGCAACTGTTCATGTTTTTGTCTCCAGGCCTATATTCATCTTAATTGCTCTTTGCACTTTTCCCAAAGTCTCAACATCTTTTTTGTAATGTGGTGACCAAAACTGAATGCAATATTCCAGTTGTGGCCTTACTAAGGCTTTATAGAGCAGTACTAATACTTCACATGATTTTTAATATATGCCTGTTTATGCAACCAAGGATTGCATTAGCTTTTTTGGCTGCTGCCACACACTGTTGGCTCATGTTTAAGTGATCGTCCACTAGGAGTCTAAGATCCCTCTCACAATTACTGTTTTTGAGCCAGGTTTTGCCTACCCTGTACTTGTGCATTGGGTTTTTCCTAGGTGTTAACCTTGCTTTTCTCCACATTAAATGTCATGTTGTTGGATAAAGCCCATTGTTCTACTCATGTTAACATTGTTCAAGCAATATTAACATGTTTCATAACATTTCGAATACAACAGCTGATGTTAAAATAAGAACATCACATTTAGCCCAGTGCTTATTTTGCCAAAGTAGTTGAAAGATAGAGATCTTAGCTGTAATTTAGAACAGAAAACCCAATATAAATATACAGGTAGTCCTTGACTTACAACCATTTGTTTAATGATGGTTTGAAGTCATGATGGCATTGAAAAAAGTGTACTTTGATCCAACCTCAAAGTTATGACCGTTGCACTCCCATAATTACATGATCTCAATTTGGATGCTTGGTAACCGGCTTGGTTTATGACAATCCTATCTGCTGTGGACAAGGTGCTGCGACGGTCATAACTCACCTTTTTCAGTGCCCTTGTACCTTCAAACCATCATTAAATGAATGGTCACAAGAGAGCTATCTATAATGAGATGGAAATAATCTATACCACACATACTTTTTCCTAAAATATGTAGAGCAAATTTGATATAAATCTCCCTCTATGCTATACTTCTCTAGATTGCTCAATTAGACAGATTAATGAAAAAGAAGAGACATTTGGATTGCTGTTCTAAAACACTGAGCTTAATGGAGCATTTTAAAGTGAAGAGTGACTCTTAAGTTACTTTCAATGACACTCAAATGGTGATGTTGTTATTATTTCCTTAATTACCTTATGCAAACTAAGTCATTGTCTTGCACTACATTGTACATGCTCTAATTTTAAACTATGAATGAGACCAGTGGAACTATTTTCTGAAAAATTTAGAGCTTTCAATAAAAGCGCAAGAAAAAGATTGAGGGATCGTAAGACTTACTTCTTGCACTTAATTTCCCAGTTCATACCTTCCTTTAGGTCAAATACCGCCCCCTCCCTTTCTTTTCTTTTCTTTAGCTACCCAAGGATTGTCCTATGGAAAATCCTTACTACAACCCCCATTACCGTATTTATCAGAGTATAAGACACTCCTTTTTCCTTCAAAAGAGGCTGAAAATCTGGGTGCATCTTATACACAGAATACAGCATTTTTTGCCTCCCGAAACCCTGCCCCTTCACAAAAATGGCCGTACATAGCCTTTAGGAGGCTTATAGAGTGCTCCTGAGGGTTGGGGAGGGCAGAAATGAGTGAAAAATGGGACGTTTTTTGCTCAATTTTGCCCTTCCAGTCCCCAGGAGCACTCTATAAGCCTCCTAAAGCCCGTGCATGCCCTTTTTAAAACAAAAAACAGGACAGTTTTGACAATAGCAATAGCAGTAGACTTATATACCGCTTCATAGGCCTTTCAGGCCTCTCTAAGCGGTTTACAGAGAGTCAGCATATTGCCCCCAACAATCTGGCTCCTCATTTTACCCACCTCGGAAGGATGGAAGGCTGAGTCAACCCTGAGCCGGTGAGATTTGAACCGCTGACCTGCTGATCTAGCAGTAGCCTGCAGTGCTGCATTTAACCACTGTGCCACCTTGGCTCTAACCATTTTTTGCTCATTTTTGCGCCGCCCCCCCATCCCCAGGAGCACTCTACAAGCCTCCTAAAGGCTATTCATGCCATTCTTTGGGGGGGGGGGGAACCAGGGCCATTTTTGCGAAAAACTGGCCATTTTTGGGAGGTCTGCAGAGTGCAAAAACCTTTTTTAAAATTTGCCTCTTCAAAATCTTGGTGTGTCTTTTATACTCCGATGCATCTCATACTGCGAAAAATACGGTATCTTTTTCTCCCTCCATTTCTTTCAGCACGTATGCAAATATGTTTGTATCTACATGCCAAAGAAAATTATCTATTACTTTTCCCCAAACACCTTTTCATATTTCATACATCCACTCTCATCTACAGCAAGCTGATTTATAAAGTAATTTATGTGGCATACATCTATAAAACCATTCCTACTTTAGTTATATTGGCTTAACATCTAATCTCCTGAGAAATTGGAGGATGGACTCATTAAGCAACGGGCACATAATTCACTTCTTCCAATGTTTTATAGCTGGAATAACTAGATTCATGGATGCCACTGTCTAAAGCAAAATGGGTCTCTTTCTTTTAGAGAAGCCAAAATCCCAAGATAACCCTCCCCTGTTCTTTACCTATCCCAATGTTTAAATGGCAAATGTAAAAGGATATCTCTGCATTTATGCCACAAATCTTTACTTTGTTAGAAGAGAAAAACAACAGCATTCATATGGTCATTTTTAACTAATGATGCCCCAAGAAATATTTCTTGCAAGTTACTTTTGCAAATACAATCTCTGGCACACACGTAAGGAGCAATCAGTTTTAGCTGTTTCTGAAATTGTGAGAGACCCAATTTGCAGAAACCCAGTCACATGCTATATAACCAGGAAAAAGAAGCACTGGAAGAAAATTGCATTCTTCCTTATATCTGATTATGAATTTAGAAGAAGCATTTTGTCACCTGAGGGATAGAACAGGAGAGGGGAAAAAAATGATGTTAGCCCAGTCATTCCCCCTTGTTCATGCCCAAGGAGAGACAAGAATAACGATGCAACATATCCCAGATTGTTGCAGCTTATGAGAGCTGAACTGGGACAGGCTCTGAAAACCAAGCCTCATGCAGCTGTTCACTATGAAGCTCATACCAAATTTAACAGGAATTAATACGAAAAATCTAACAACTGTTAAGATGCTATTTATTGCCTCTTCTTCTCTAGCACTTATATTTCAAAGCAGCTGTTTCAGAGAAGTTAGGGGTAAATAGCGCCCTCTCTTGTCTAGTGAGCAGAAGGTAATGAAATAAAACACTTCTCCCATGACAGCTACATAAATGTTGGATTCTACTCAGTAAGCTTAAACAGATCACTTATTGGGGGTGGGGGTGCAGCATACTGTGCAAGCATAAGAAATAGTCTTGGGCAGAAAAGGCTTCTTGTTAACCCCACCCCTTTTTTTCTTCCATTCAATCATGCCTGATTCTCAGATATTGCCTAGACAGGTCCCTGCATTTTTCTTGGCAAGGTTTTTTAGAAGTGGCTTACTTTTGCCCGCTTCCTAGGGATGAGAGAGCGAGCGACTGACCCAATGTCACCCAGCTGGCTTCATGTTCAAGGCGGGGCTCAAACTGCCCCTCTCTCAATTTCTCAGGACAAATCAGTAAGACTAGTAACTGGCCTTCTATTCCTGCATCAACTGGGATGAACTGAACAGCATAGCAGTTTTAAAGTTTATTAATTATCTGCCTAGGGAATAATTCCCATAAACAGAAAACCTATTCATTTGAAATCCAATTTCATTTTTTTCACATTTCAATGATTGAGTTTTATTATAAGCATTCAGTCTGAAGACAATTAAAATTACCTTGTTCTTGCAAAATTGTATTTTTAAATACCTCATATTTATTGACCCACGTTCATATCAGTTATATATATGCAGTTGGTCCATGTCTTAAATTTTATGGTGCAACCTTTAACCCTTAGCAGAGACAACTGCCTCTCATCTGGGTGAACACACAGTATATTCATATACCGAACATCAATTATGAGCTTCTCTTAACGACAAATAATGACTGCTATAATGCTCAGGCATATAAATATTTCCAGCAGATGTTATCAATGAATAATAAACGGTATTATTAACTTTAGGTGAAGTGCATAGGTAAATCTTCCCAGGTTCTTACTTTTTATCCATAATGGACATAGTTGCCAGCACATATTGCACTGAGGTTATGGGCAGTTTTTTTTTTTAAAAGAAAAAACACAATAAGTTCTTAATATGAAAAGCTGTACTGCATGGGAGTGTTTTATAGTACACAGTCCAGGGTCTACTATGCAGAGAACATCATTACTTACAGTTCTTCCATGGCAGAATGAAAGGCAAAGTTCTAGGAGCTCGCAGGCCTGAAGCTAGGTGGCTCCTATATCCTATTATTGGGTTGGATCTTGGACTGGGGAAAAGAAAAAAAAAAGGAAACGTTCATGCTCCTGCTTTTGCTTAAATTTAACGCGTATTTTTTACAGGAGGGAGAATAATATATAGCTGGTTCTCACTTAGCAAGCATTCATTCAGTGGCCATTTGAAGTTACAACAGCAGTGAATCAATGGTAGCTGCACTCAGTCCTTGACGTTATGGTTGTGCAGGGCCTGCATGATCATGTGATCAAAATTCAGATGCCTGACAGCCTGGACTCCCGACAGCCATCTGCCCCCATGTCTGCTCTTTGGGCTCCCCTGCACTCTGCTGCCTCTACCACCTCCACCCTTCTAGGCTCCTCTTTGCCAACCCTGCACGCCTCCCCTGAGTTGACCTTTGCTTTCTTCTTCCCCTCACTGCTGAGGAGGGATGCCTGGCCCTTCGGGAGGCAGCCGCTGGCCACACCAGGCTTTCTTCCTAAAATATAAAACTTTCTTGTAAGGCTTTGGAAGATTTCAAAGCTTTGCAAGAATGCTGTATGCAATTCGGGCAAGGCACAATTACATTCCGTGGGCTGAGCAGAGACCAGGGCAAGAGAGACAATCAGAATGTTGGGCAGCCAAAAGGGCAGAAATGTGGGGGAATGGCTTAGGTTGGGGTGGGTCCTTGCCGAATAACCAGGGTGGTTCTATTAACACCAGCAACAGAGAATGCCTGGACTGTCATTGGTTAAGTGGAGCAGTCAGGGGATGCTGCACTTTACAACCGTATCACCTAGTGACAGAAATTCCAGTTCCAAATACTGTTATAACTCAAGAGTACTGCTTTGTTCATTATTCAACAAGAATTTTTAAGGTTTCTGCAGGTCAGGACTAATACCTTTGTATGTTCCTCTGTAACAGAAAGATAAACAGATTTGCCACTGACATTTGCTACAGTTCTAAGATAAAGGTAAAAGTTCCCCTCGCACATATGTACTAGTCATTCCCGACTCTAGAGGGCGGTGCTCATCTCCGTTTCAAAGAGACAATGCTGTCTGAAGACGTCTCCGTGGTCATGTGGCCGGCATGACTAAATGCCAAAGGTGCACAGAACGTTGTTACCTTTCCACCAAAGGTGGTTCCTATTTTTCCTACTTGCATTTTTTACGTGCTTTTGAACTTCTAGGTTGGCAGGAGCTGGGACAAGTCACGGGAGCTCACTCCATTACGCAGCACAAGGGATTCGAACCGCCGAACTGCCGACTTTTCTGATCGACAAGTTCAATGTATTTGCCCCAGAGCCACCGCATCCCAAATCCATATAAAATGATAAATCGATTTAT